CCCCCCCCCAGTCCCCATCCCCAGCTCAGATTTAGCAGTTGTTCAAGAGTGCATGGTGAGTCCCCAAGAAGAAGGGTTTGGCAGGTTCTCACCCAGTCCCATACTTTGCAGGTTTGCAATGCAGGCACAGCCCTCTCGGCCAGAAGGAAGTTTCAGTGCATACACCTGAGCTATGCTCATGCAATGAGAGTGGAAGGGAAATAAAAATGACTCAGGATGACAATTTTATAATAAACCTTTCCACAATGGCCTTTAGCTCCCATGCAAATTAGGAAGCACCCAGCCAGCTGTGGTGCTCTTCCTCATGCCAGAGAGCCCTCCTTAGAGCGGGTCATGTATCAGGAACCCCTGGGGAAGAGCAGGGATGAAAAGGGAATGGGTGTCCCTGTGCAGTCTGGAACCATGGCCTTCTCCGGTGGCCTGGGCCAGGCCGGGCGCCAGCACCACAGAAGTCCCCTGGCCAACACTCTTGGCAGAGCCTGGTCCTGCGTCAGAAGCTCTGCTGCACTCCGTCCCCATCCAGGGGGTTATGGCACAGCTGGAACAGGGCATGGTCACCCTTCACGCAAGCCATCCTTTATGTGGTCACACAATGGGCTAAAATAATCAGGTGCAGGTGAGAATTTGAGCAAAGTGATTCTGCCTGAATGCTGGAGAGAAACACAGGAGTAACTGAAACATGTTAAAGCCACATACTCCACCACTGTGAATTAGACAAGGAGCTGTAGCTCCTGCAGAGGGGAGCAGGGGAGGCCTCACGCCTGAATTTCAGGGGTGGAAGGCAGCAGCCTGTGTTCCTGGGCACGTGCTCCTTCTTCCTGCGGAAATCCCCTTTGGAAAATCCAAAGGTGTCCAAGTTCAAACCGGATCTGGGCTGAGTGATAAATGAGAGGGTGAGCAGGCGTAGGGCTGCTCTGCAAATCTCCAGCCTCCCCTGGCAAGTCCCAGCAAGAGCTGCCGGGTATCAGAGCTGGAACAAAAGGTGCCGTGAGGGCGGGTGGGTGGGTGCTGCCAGACGGTCTCAAAACCCCCTCTCTGGCAGCGGGGCAGCCTGGTGCTTGGGTGACAGAGGGGGAATCCCAGCCCCCCTGGCCTGCCTGCCACAACGGGTGCAGGAAATTACACCTACATCTGCTTCCAAAATTAGCTGCAGCAGAAAGTCTGAGAGCTGTGAGCTGCTTAGATATCCTACTGCTGCTGAGGTGAACCACCTAAAACCCCTGAGCCTGTGACCCTATTGGTCTACTAGGTGTTAAATGTTTCTTAAAAAGCAAACCAGGTGGACAGATGACAAGGTGAGCAATGAACCATTTCACAGAGCAGATACAGTAATCTGACTTTTTTTAATAAATACCTATCTCACATGTACCAAAATAATTATAAACAAAAAATTGTACAGTATTTACACAATATACAATTGCTAAAAAGTAGCAATTATGACACACACGGTGTGAAACACACAGTTTCCAATGCCCACAGTCAATATTATTGCTACTTCCTCCTGGCAGCCAGGAGGTCACCAGTCCTTTGGTTTGACTCCTCTGCCCGGGATGCCCCACTGAGAGCAGCTGAGGTTGGTCAGCAAGGCCAGGGAACACCACCAGCAAAACACAAATTAACACATGGTCTCCAAGAAGATGGGGTGTTGATATGAGCCTGGCTTGCCATGAAAGGACACGTGTTCCTCGTGGTACTTAATGCCACAGGATAGCTCTCTGTAACCAGCAGGTTGGATGTGAAGTCTGTTACCGCTGTAGAGTTGAGAAGAGTGGCTATGTGGCTCTTTATCAGATAATGTGCAGGATCACAGATCTCTACTGATGTTACACATCCCTCTCCCGCATTTAAACAGGCCAGAACTTGGAACAGTCCTGTTACAATTACATGCTCCTTGGTGGGCAGTGTAGTATTTCCCTCCTGGTTTTTTTCCCTCCAAATTGCAACTTTCTTTTTAAATGAAGAAAAAGAAAGCCAGTCCTTTTTTTTTTTTTTATACATATGTACACAGTCACTTTTCACAGAAAGCTCTGCTTTAAAATGCCAGCTGTCGTCCTCCAATCAGGCAGTCATCATACATAAGCTGCAAGAAAAAACAAAAGGCTCTTAATGCAAAACTCTTTCTGAGAGTATCATATCCACTCTGGGATAACTGCCAAATTCTGCATGCCCTGACTTTGGTAGCGTATAAAATTTCTCCACTAAAATGGTTACGTTTGCCATTTAAAAGCGCTGAGAATGTTACAAAAACAAATGCTGGGGAGGAGAAAACCACCCATTAACTTCAATTTTATCTCACGAGGTTCTGTACCTGTCAGGAACAGCCATGTTGCATCAAGTTAACCTCTGTTACCTCATGTTATTTCTTATGTTTTATTCTTATTCTATACATATGCTTGCCCCAACTGCCATCTTGCTGATGGCTGATTGCATAACGTTACTTTATGGGCTATTTATACCTGTCTGTTATATACTAAGAAGTCACTAGAGTGCTTCATCAGAGCAGAACCATCAAAAAAAACCCCACCTTACAAAGGGCAGAACTTCCCCCTTCTCCTGAAAAGGTGCAAATAGCTACTTACTTCATCCTCTGTGAATTCAGCCTCCGATTCACTGCTTTCCTCGTCCTCACTTTCTGGCAACATCTGCAGGTTGGCTGTGGTCAGCTGCTTCAGCTGTTCCTGTATGCTGGAGTTGTCTCTTCCCCACGTGAGCTGATAGGGGGAATAGCCCTGGTAGGTCACTTTGTTCACATCCGCTCCATGTTTCACCAGAAGCGACACCAAGTCTGAATTCTGCAGGTCAACAGCCAAATGTAGTGCCGTTCTGCCGTTGCACGGCTCCTGTGTGAAAGTAATACAATGTTTGGCATGTTCGGAGAGCCAGAGCTAGTGCCAGACCTGTTGATTCTTATGACTACACAGCCCTGATCAGTTAAATTCATGGTATACACTACATACCTGAGCATTGACATCTGCTCCCAAGGACAGCAAGTATTCAACAATAGCCAGGTATCCTTGAATAGATGCCAAATGGAGACATGTATGTCCTGCAAAACACAAATGAAGGGAAAATTTGAGTAAGTCTAACCTAATGCCCTATCATTCAGTTAAAGTCAAGGTGATAGGACAGGATGATATCTAAGTTTGCAATTCATCCATGGCAAAAGAGTGTTTTCCAGAAGAGCTTTCCAGCTTCCAGTAAATACGAGTAACAGGGTTGGATTTTGGAAAGATTTCTTGGAGGCTTATTCCAGTGGAACTTATCGTAGCAAAAAGAAAGGAGCACTCCAAAATTACTCACTAAAAATGCAAAATTCAAAGCCACAAGAGCCAATAATCAACAGTGAGGAGGCCTACAAGCCAGTGACATTTTAAAGAAGTCACACACTGCTGCATGCTTTGGGCTCAGCTCTCAAATGGGTATAATGCTCCTTCTCCACCTCTCCAGAGATCTCTGAGCTCTACAGAACATCAACCCTACTCTCTGTACAGCACACAGACATCAGTGTACAGCAGCGTGCCCGTACCATTGTAGTTGGTGGCTTGCAGGACAGCGAGGAGGTGGTGTGGCTGGCAGTACTGCGTGAGGACGCTCACGGTCCTGAGCGAGCCCTGATGGCAGGCAATGTGCAGGGGGGTGTTCCCTCGGAAGTCCCTGATTTCCAGGTCGCATCCAGCCTTCAGAAGATGCTCAGCAATTTCGGGCTGATCAGTGATCGCTGCCAAGTGAAGAGGAGTCTGCACGCAAAAGAGAAAACACAAGCCTGTAAGCTACACTGTAAACTTGGCAGCAACATCCGGACAGACCCCTTGACTGCTCAGTGATTTGTGACCCCCATTAAAAACACACCCCATTAACTCAGTTCTTTATGCATCCCAATATGTTGTATAGTTGCCCTTTCATCTGGAAGTGATGAACTTAGGGCTCCCTGGATACCAAACAGCCAATCCATATGAAGGGTATCATTAACTCCCAGTAAAGAGGGATGCAACCCATTGCATCATATTTGAAAAATGCAGGCATTAAATGCCACTCTCCAGGGAGAGGAAGCATACTAACACCGGCTGGAGCCAGCTGGGGACTTTCCTGAATGTAGGCTTTGATTTAGTTAATTCCGTCAATTAAAAAAGAAAAGAAAAAAAAAAAGATTTAAAAAGGACTTTTTTTAGGAGGAATTCCCCAGCGGGCTTTTGTGGGGGTGGGGAAGGCTGATGCGGACTGGGGGCTGTAGAGGTGGAAGTACCTGGCTGAGGTTGTTCTGGAAGTTCAGGAAAGCCCGGTCCCCGGCCGCCTGCCGGATCACCTCCAGGCTCAGGGATTTTTCCTCGTGAATAATCGCCAAGTGGAGAAAACTGCAGGAAAACGAATAAATAATTACATAAAGAGACAAGACAAATCTTTTAACCGACCCGCGTTTAAACCCCCAAATCCCACGTCAGCCACCCCACCCGCGACCCCCGCGGGGCAGCGGGGCCAGGCGGGCT